GGACCTGGACAGCCACTAGCTCATCTCCCCCTCCAGTGAGGAAAGAGGGAGGAACAGAAAGAGCAGAACAAGGAGAGGGTGGGGAAGGAAAGGATGAAGACAGGAAGGGAAGCTGGAAGGAAAGAGTGGGACAGGAAGGAGGAAGAAGAAGAAAGACGTTTTGTGACATGCTGTAGGTGAGACATGAGGAAGAGCCCAAGGAGAAATCCTCGGCAGAGGCTGGGAACCATCTGCTGGCAATGTCTCGTCCTGGCGGTCAAGTGCTCCCTCACAGACAGGCAGCGTGACAGACAAGGCCACCGTTAGAGGGTGCAATCAAGCCCCTTCACACAGAGCCACAGCATGTCCCTTGCTGTGGCACAGTGGTAAAAAGTCAGAAACCTGGAACACAGGGCACGGTGTGGCCTACAGCAAGTCGCATTACTCTGAGTTCAGACTCTTCTGTGAAACAGGGCGGTGCTGCTCATACTGCCGACCTCCCACGGTGGCAGTGGAGACGACAGAGAGAACGCTGTGAGCATCCATGAAGATGAAGCCAAAGCACTTGGTAAACCTGAGAGCATCACTGTGATCTAGGACATTAGAAGGGGCCCAGGAACTGGTCTTGGCATCAGGTTTTCAGATGCCCAAATTCACCAGTTCAGCAGTTACTCCTAGAAAAGAGGGGAGAGTTGTAAAAGCAGATTCATTACTATAACTCAGCAAGTCCTCAGGGGTGACAACCAAAAAGCTGAGTATATATTTAAGTATATTTCTAAAGAAACAAGATATATTTTATCAGCTTCCATCTCTTACTGCCAAACTCTTGATATTGCATTTCCCTGCCACTGAAAATCAGTCAATGCTGTCTGTTACATCCTTCCAGATACGTACACTGGCTGTAGGCTTTTATTCACCAGCAAGCCCTGAGTGTGGCTCCCACTGTGAGACAAGCAGCCCAGACAGCACTTGGCATATCCAAAACCTCCCACTGGTTTCTCTCCTTTTGTCCACATTTTGTGGTCTCAAAACCAGCCCTCACCTCCACCCACCCAAGAGTAATCTCTCCATTACTGGTGCACAATCCCAGCCTTTAGAACAATGCATCTAGCAGGGACCTTTGACAGTAAGTGGCCCAATCCCATCACTGGTCTTTAGAGCCCAGACAGAAGAGTGGAAGGACAAAAGAAGAAGAGAAAAGGCTTCAAAGTTAAGCACTCCTTTAAGGCTACATCAACGGGCATTTCCTTGAACTTGGGTGAAGTAAAATAAAATGAGAATTGAGTCAGTAAGAAATCCACAGCCCGTAACCCATCATCTAGTGCAAACCTCTCATTATTTTTCAGTTGCATTCCAGTGGGCACCCAACGTTTCAGGGGATGAGGTCAGAGCTCAACAGAATTCCTTCCTCCTCCCCAAGGAATAGGTTTCAAAGATGAAAACAAGTTATTGAGCCTACCCTTATCAATCTCACACAAAGCATTTTCAATACAAGGTATGGGTTTGGCACTCCTTGGAGCCCAAGGGAATTAGTTCCTGTCTCTGGACTGCCATATTAATACATACACCCACAGAATAGAGGGAGGGACAGTTAGGATCGGGGGTCCCTCTATAATGACCACCATTTCTTGTGAAAAGGGAGAAGAAACAGATCACTAGAAAAATATCCATTTCTCTCCATTCTCCCTCTACAAGTGTTTATAACAGCAAAGAAAACAGAACTTAAATCTCACCTTAGGGAACATACATCATTGCTCAGAAGATCTCAATCAGTGGCAGATGAGATCAAACTTGAGAGCATCTTTGTGCCAAAGCCACTCCAAACCTTGGGGTGTTTGTCGTGGCCTTTTGCAGGCCAGGCCAAGATGAGCCAGTGGCCTTGGAGCGAAGCAGGCCTTCTCTCATAAGCGGTTCAATAGGATTTGGAAACTATGCATTTACTCTTAACATTGGAAAATGGACACATGCAGCTCTGGGCCACCAGGCAGATGAAATCCCACGTTCACGAGCTACGCCCCAAGGTTTGAAGCTTTTCAAATGAAGAAGGAGCAACTCCATTTTTCATTTTTCCATAGGCTGGGACTCATGTCCCTGCTGCCATTCAAAGCTCTATTTGACTAATCCTAGAGGAAGGGGCACAGGCCTTAGGGGCCTCCATGCAAAGCTTAGGAGGAGCTACAGAGGAACCAGATACCTACTGTTGGTCTTCATGCACATCTATCCTGCAGCACAATGTCGAAACAAGGGACAACTTAAGAGACTTGGAACAGAATCAGCACATTTCTCACAAGGGCAACACCAAAAGGAAAACAAACATCAAAAGCATTAGAGAGCTACCCCTCCCATTCATGTTCTTAAACCCTTTTCAAAGGCAGCTCAAGTAGAGAATGTTCCCGTGTCACATTACAGCCACACTCACTTTCATAAAAACCACACGAGATCTGGCAAATCCAATTCTTGGAACTGATCAGCCATTGAAAGGAAGATGCTCCTGTGTTCCGGGGTTTCCAATGCACTAACTTTTACCTCAGCAAAGCAGGGAGGTCTGTGTGCTGCCATCCCCACAGAGGGAGGGCCTCCTCAGCACAGCACAGCTCCCATCAGGTCCCCCCACCTAGTCTTGGTGCTCCGTGCTTGTGACTCGCACTCACACAGAAGCCCTCCTCCCGCCCTCCTCCCAAATATGGGAAAGCAAGAGAGCCAGGTGGAGGAGAGACAAAAAGAGCCAAAGTTCATTATTTTTTAAAAAGATTCCAATTGTAGTCCACATTTTAAATTGCTTTATTATGATAACTAAACTGGAGACAGCATTATAAGGCTATTTTCCTTCTTTAGGAAAAGAAGGCTATTATAAGGCTATAAAAGATAGCATTATAAGGCTATTTTCCTTCTTTAGGAAGTGGATTAAAAAAATGAAGAAGGCTTACCCATTTTTGAAATAGAGGACATGGGCTCTCTGAAGTCCTGTTTCTAGGAAAAAACCTAGTTCTTGATCGTGGGGAGCAGGGCCAGGCTTAGGGCTTCTGTTTTGAATATTAGTAAGTATTACCTGGAAGGGGAGAAAATTGGAAAACTAATCAGATGCACATCCAAGCCTACTTCCTTCAAACCCTGTCTCTAAATGCAGTGCACAACTTGAAAGACAAACTTCTTTATGCAAATATTAGTGCTCGGGCACAGGTGTAGAAGTGCAAGAATTAGAAAAGCACAGAGAATGACTTCTACAAGGCAGGAAGCAACAAACAACCCAGGGGCACACATGGCTCTCGTAGTACCGAGCTAAGGAATGAAGGGAGCTGATGAATGGATGGTGCTAGGAGAAGCACTAGAGGTGCAGTGGCGCTGCTGAATGCCAGGATACAGACAGGGAGGCAGAGTGACACAGAAGCAGATCCCAGCAAAGGGCAGAAATAGTCATCATCCATCAGTGGCTGAGGTCACCAACAGGCAGACTGCGACTCCAGCCCTGCATGAGCTTGATGAGCTCCAACATGAGCTGAGAGGTGCCATGATCAGCACTGGCCCTGGAATTAACCAGGGAAGGTAAACTCACCAGGCTACCATCTGAAGCCTGTGGGCTGAGCAGCAGTCATCTATTCTCAAGAAGATAGCTAGGAAAAACCACCTCCCTCCCCAGACTTGGCTTCTTATCAACAGATGACAAGGTTTTAAAGGTTTAAATTTTTAGCCCTGCAGGAAAGACAACCAACTAATCAGGAGAAAGACTTGCAAATTGAGTTGGTTATAGTGAAATGTAAACACACATCTGCTACTCCCTTTAAATTCACAAGTCAAATAGAGCATTTATTTGTGGCCTATTTAAAAATCATGCAAGTGTTCTCCAAACATGTGTCCACATTTGCTGAAAGTCAGCAGCTCTTCAAAATACTCAGTTGTTAGCCAAACCCCAAATATCCTCGAGGTCTTGAAATCATTCTCCAAATGGAGTTGAAGCAATTGCTGGTTCTCTAACCCACAAGCTTTGGGGAAAAGAAAAGTGGAAGGCACACCATGAACAAAACATTGAGGAGTAAGATCCAGGTGGGCAGCCCTTGCATTTGAACTACATCCCAGCATCTTATCAAAATTGCCTGGTGTATATATAACACAGTTTCCTTATCCAATCATCCATCGATGAACATTTAGGTTGGTTCCATATCTTGATCACACTTGCAACAACATGGAGGAACCTGGAGAAACTTATGTTGAGGGAAATAAGCAAAGCACAGAAGGATAAATACCGCATGTGCTCACTCATATGTGGGAGCTAAGAGAGAAAGAAGGAAGGAAAGAAAGACCACAGTAGTGCGTTGGTATTACAGAGGGAGAGAACATTCCTAGGGATACAAAGTGGAGTGGGCAGGGGGGAAGGCAAGGTGGAGGGAGTTTGGGAGATAATTGGGTGCGGGACACGGGGTACCAAAAGTAATTTCTGGCAATGGGTATGCTGCCAGTATGAATCTGGCCCTCACATCATGGGCACAAGGGGTGACAATTAGCTTTGTATCTCATGAATATTCACAATAAAAAAATTGTTTTAATTAAAAAATTTAAAAAAGAATCGACTGGCTCCTTCCTGGCTTAGCACTGGGCTCTCCACGTCCACCCTCCACAGGTGTTCCTCCTCTCTGGGAACCCTCATTTCCACTGCACTGCAGGCTCCTCCTCCACACATCCTCTGTGTGTTGGAGATGAACAGAATGCCATCCTTTCTCTCTCAAGCCTCTCCTGAGATGATCTCATCCATTCCTATAAGCTTCAAAAGTCATTGGTATGCTGCCAACTCCCAAATTTATATCTCTAGTCCAGACTTTCTTTCTGAATTCCAGACTCATATCCAACTACTCCACTTGGAGGTTTAACACTGAAACTTTAAAAATTACTTTAAAAAATCATTTGCTTTTGAGCAGTTTTAAATTTTAAAATGCCATGGTTCTTTTAAAGTAAAACAATTCTGGGCCGGTCCCACGGCTCACTCAGAGAGTGCGGCGCTGGTAGCGCCGAGGCTGCGGGTTCGAATCCTATATAGGGATGGCCGGTGCGCTCACTGGCTGAGTGTGGTGTGGACAACACCTAGCCGAGGGTTGCAATCCCCCTACCGGTCAAATAAATAAATAAAGTAAAACAATTCAGTATAGCACAAAAAAAGAGAAAAAATCACCTCAAAATTCCACCATACAGAAATAACCATAGTTAACATTTATTGAACAACAATCCAGATATCTGCATATATATATGTACCAAGCAGAAAAAGAAAAAAACATTTTACAAAAAACATCATGTTTTACTCATACATGTTAGTTTTAAATTTAAACAATTACATGTAATTTAGTTAAATGTAATAGAAGGAACTAAAGTGTAACCAAAGTAATCACTCAATTTCAGAAAAATGTTTTTCCCACATAGTTGATACAAGTTCTCTCTAAAGTGAAAAATGTCATATTTATTATGTGTGTATATACGTATGTGTGTGTGTATCTCCTGCTCAAGCCATTTGCCATGTGATACCCTGTGTCACTGTAGAGTCACCACCCAAGAACAAGGTGCTCAACAGATGTGCCCCCTGGACTGAAGACTTCTCAGCCTCCTAAACTATAAGAAATAAATTTTATTTCTTTACACATTACCTAGTTTCAGGAATTCTGTTATAAGCAACAGAAATGAACTAATACAAAATACACAACACACAAAGAGTTAAAGTAGATCATTATTTTTACCTACATATTTCAACTTCATATAATATCTACTGACACATGATACAAAAATTAACATATTCATACTATTTTCTACTTTGCCTTCTCCTTCAGCCCTCCATTTTCACTATATTACTATTTTTACATTTCAGCCTCCCACTTTCGTTATATTACTATTTTTTTTTTTTTGTCTTTTGTCTTTTTTTCCGTGTCCGGCAACAGATCGCAACCCTCAGT